TCGGAGATGATGTGCTGCGGCGCGCCGCTCTCCTCCTGCTTGCGCAGCCGGTTGTTGGCCTTCACGATCTCGCCCAGCTGGTGCGTCAGGTCGTCCTCAGACCTGCGCGGGGGGTGGCCAGGTGAGGGTGGGGAGGCCAGGGGGTGCGGCGAGGGTGCAGCAGGCGGGGGGCAGGCAGTCAGGCAGCCAGCCGACCCCGGCCCTGCCGCTGCGCAGGAGCACCGCCTGCGACGGCCACCGCTCGGCCCCCGGCGCCACCCTCCCTGCACCCTCCAGTACAACACCCCCCCTCCCTGCACCCCCCCTCTACACCCTACCCCCACCCCCCAACCAGCCCACCTGGCGCTGGCATCCATCTGCACGCTGGGCCGCACGGGCGGCGGCGGCACGGGCAGCACCGTCAGCACCATCCAGTCGGGCCGGGAGTAGCGCGGGTCAAAGCCCAGCGCGCGGCAGTCGTCGTCGCTGATGCGCTTCAGAATCTCCAGCGCCTTCTCGGGGGTGATCTCCTGCGGGCAGGCAGGGAGGGCGGCGGGCACAGCTGCACAGGTGAGCAGCGGGGATCCAGGAGCCGACGGGGTGGGCTGGGAGGGCGGCAAGGAGCGCGGATAACCCATATGCCTGGGCCAGGCCAGCCGGCGCTGCACACACCACACGCACATGCACACCACCTGGCGCCGCCCCCACCCACCTGCTTTCGCTCCATGGCCTCCACCCCCATGTCCTCGTCCTCCCCCTTGGGCTGCGGGAACTCCGCCATGATGCGCATGGTGCCGTGCTCCAGGCGGTAGGTGGGCTGCGGCCCGCCCGTGTGCTCGCACACCCGCCGCGTCTGGCACAGGCTGGTCCACACCCGCAGGCGGCGCTCCGGGTTGCGCACCTTCATGGCCTGCGCATACTTGGGGTCCTCCTGCGGGTGGGGGTGCAGGGTGGCAGGGGCTCGGGGGCGGTGGGGAGGTGCGGAGGTGCGGGGCTGTCGTGAATGTGGCGGTGGGACGACGCCCCTCCCCTGCTGAAGTAGAGGCGGCTGGTGAGCTGCGACGGCGCATGCGCCAAGGTCCTGCCTGGCGACTGCCCCCACCAAGCAACACCCTCTCGCCCTTCGTTTCGATCTGCCAGCTCAGCTGGCTGCCCCTGTCCCTCCCCACAACTGCTGCCGCGCTGCCGCCTCGCGCCCATGCATGGAGGACCCTCCCCGCTGTGTACAGCCCCACCCACCCCCCAGCTCACCGGCAGCACCATGATTTTGGAGTTGTGGTACGACACGCATCTCAGCACCTTGACCACTGTCTTGAGGAAGTGGATGTGGAACATGGGCTTGGCCAGCTCGATGTGGCCAAAGTAGCCGGGGCAGTCCAGCACGCCGTTGCCGTCGGTGGTGCACTTGAGGGCGCGGTCCATGGTGCCCAGGCGCGGGTCGCTGAGGCCGCCCAGCTTGGGGCGCCCCTTCTCATACGTCTGGGAGGTCTCGATCTTGGCAACCGAGTAGCGGCGCTGCGCGGTGGCAGAGCACGGGGCGGGGTGAGCGGCAGCGGCTGCGCGGGCAGCGCCTTGTGTGCCACCCCGGCAGGCACGGTGCAGCACCGCCGCGCCCTGTGCTTCTCAGCCAGCCTGCCTCTCCCCTTGGCACCCACACCGCCACCAGGCGCTGGCAGCAGGCAGCCGGCCTGTGCCTCACCAGGAACTCTGCATCCAGCACACCAAACTGCAGTGCCTTGACCTTGCGGTGCGGCGCGGGGCTGTACGTGAAGCGGTCCATGGCGCCCCACGCTGCTCACTCACGCCCTTGGCCCTAAGTGGCGCACCCGCCAGGGGCCTGCACCAAATAAGCAGCAGTGAGCGAGGCAGGCGCAGCAGCGGGCGCCGACGGTGGCGGCGGCGCCGCACGGCCTGCGTGCAACTCCTCCAAGCGCTGGTCAGCAGCCCCCGGCGCAGCTCCTGCTCACTTTACGTCCCCTCTTAAAGCCGCCGGGCTGGCAGCCGGCCTCCACCACTCAGGTGATGGAGTCCCGCGCAGCCTGCGGCTAGGCTGGTGCGCAGGGGCCTTGCGGCCGCTCCCTGCGCACAGCAGCGGCTGCTGCGCAGCTGCCCGCCGGCGCAGCCCTCTTGAACCCCCTTCTCAGCCGGGCACGCCAGCGATCAACAGCGTGAGCGGGCAGGGGCCATGTGTCAGGCTTGAGGATCAATTGCCTGGGAATCGGCAACGCGGCGAGGGGCGCAGAGCTCCCACTTGAGGGCTCGGCGGGGCCGGCTTTCCACCATGCCGCCGCCAGAGCGGTGCAGGCAGGGGTCCAATCTAGTAAGTTAACCGCATGCAACCCTTTGTCAGGCCACCACTGGTTGGTTCTCTGCTCCATGGGCCCAACTTTCAGTGGCAAGTGACGCTGGGCGGCTCCAGCGAGGCGGTTGGTGCCACCGATCACCCTCGTTCCTGGCTGGCCCTGCGCCCCCGCTCCTGCTGCCTGCCAATGAGGGCAGACCAGTGTTGGCAGGCCGGGCCTTGCACTACGGGCTGTGCTACATGTAGAATCCCTTGCAGCTGTACCCGCCGTCCACCGGGATGGTGCACCCCGCCACATACGACGCCGCCGGGGAGGCAAGGAAGGAGACCACCCGCGCCACCTCCTGCGGCTGCGCAATGCGCCCCATGGGCGTGCGCTCCAGCACCTTGCCCTCATACTCCTTGTCCTGCAGCACCTGCTGCGCCAGCGGCGTGGCGGTGTACCTGCGGCACACAACACCGCGTGGCTGTCGCATCAGATCACAGAAGGGGCGGCATGAGGCGCGCAGCCGGCAGGCGCAGCAACGGCTGGCTCTCACCATGGCGCCACCGACACTGCGCGGATGTTGTCCTTTGCCGCCCACTCACACGTCAGGTTCTTGGCCAGCTGGTTCAACGCGGCCTGAACGATAGGGGAGCACCGATGCAAGCACAGTGCCCAGTCGTCCGACCCCCTGCATGCAGCACCTGTCGCAGGCTGCGCAGGCGCCGCCACACAGGTTCGACAGCCATGCTGTCCGCCGGATAGATAACTACGCAGCGCACAGGACCTGCAGCCGCATGTCCCACCTTTGTGAGGCCGTAGATGGAGCCGGAGCCCATGGCTGTGGGCCCACCCGCCACGCTGCTGTTGAAAATGACGATCCCGTCGCCGCCGGCCTTCAGCAGCGGGTGGGCTAGCTGGGAGAGCGCAAATGCCGACTCCAGGTTGACGCTGATCAGGCGCTGGAACTCCGCCTGCAGGCCAGGCCGCCGGGGCGCGGGAGAGGCAGGCACATTGCGGGTGGCCGAGCCCGGGCGGCCACATTCTAGCTGCTCCCAAACCGCTGCCGCTGCTGCCGCCGCCCCGAACACTGCTTACCTGCGTAAAGTCCACCGTTGCATGACGAATATTGGTGCCAACATTGTTGAACAGAACGTTCAGCTTGCCCTGGAAGGCCTCCGACACCGCATCCAATAGCAGCTGCCGGTCCTCTGCCAGCGACACGTCAGCCACAATGCCCTGGACATCCCACCCCGCCGCTCTGCACTGCCCCAGCAGCATCTCCAAGTCTGCAGGGTTGCGCGCACAGGTGAAAACCCTGCAGCAAGGGCAGAGGGCGTGCGTTCAGCGAGAGGCGTCGCCCTGTCGCGCTGCCAGGTGCAAGGCAACAGGGCCCAGCAAATGACCAGACCCTCTTGCCTGGCACCCAGCCCCGCCAGCTCCTCCACAACCGCTCTGCCGATGCCTGCAATGGCAGCAGCAGTGCACACCTCACTCATTTGCAAGGCAGCTGCAGCACCGACGGTGCGGGAGCTGGCGGCAGTGCGCCAGCGGCCGCGACTGTGTTGCCTTTCCACGGTGCAATTTTACCCTGAGTTCCGCCAGTGACCAGAGCCATTCTTCCCACAGGCGCATAGGCGCTCAGCCGCTCCTCACGACTCGGCATGGTGCTGGCACCAGCAGCCATGGTGTGGCACACTTTGCGTTATAAGTCACGACTCAACGCTGTAGCAGCAGGCAGGCAATGCGAATGAGTCAGCAATGTGGCACCACCCCAGAGGCGCCCAACCTTATTATGAGGGCTGACTGGGCATTTCTTCTGGGCTTGGCACGATTGTAGCACCGCATCAATCACGGATCTTTCTCGCAATCACCTGGTGCCAGCACCGAGACGGAGGGACGAGGCGAAGGTGATCGGCACTCGGCTTGGCGGCTTGCTGGGGCGCTATGGCTGCTCCAAGCACGGCAGTTGCCGGGGCGATACATAGAGACAGGCAAGCCCCGGGATGAGCCCGCTTGCTGCCGGTCGCCGCGCCCCGCCGCCTGCAAACGCCGCCATTGCCGCCGCCCCAGCCCTTAGCGGGCTGCCCCTGCCCATTCCCTGTCGCCTGAAGCAGCTCTGTGAACCGCCTGGAGGAGCTGGAGACGCAAGTGCAGGTGTGCCACCAGGTCAACGCCCACCTGAATGCCGAGGTGGAGCGGCTGACGCTGGCGGTGGATGCTCTGGAGCAGGGCAAGGCAGCCTACGAGCGACACATCCGCGACCTGGCCAAGAAGCTGGCGGCCGCGCGCGCGCAGCTGCCAGAGGCGGCGGCGGCGGCGGCGGCGGCCGAGGAGGAGGCCGCCGCCGAGGAGCTGGCTGACGTGGCGGCCTCGCAGGAGCTGCAGTCGGATGCCTTTGCCGCGGCCGGCCTGCCCTCCACCAGCGGCGGCAGCGGCGACGAGGGCGGCGGCGGCGGCGGCGACCAGGCCTGGCTGCAGGACGCGGCCTGGCAGCGCTTCCAGCAGGCGGGGCTGCGGGCGCGGTGGCTGGCGGATCCGGGGGAGGTGATCCTGGGGGAGGTGATTGGGCAGGGCACGTTTGGGATGGTGCACCGAGCCACCTGGCGCGGCGGGTGCGCGGCGGTCAAGCGGGTGCGGCCACGCAGCCGGGAGCAGGCCACCACTTTTGTGCGGGAGGTGGAGGCGCTGGCGCAGCTGCGCCACCCGCACGTCATGCAGCTGTACGCCGCCTGCGTGCGCCCGCCCGCCGACTTCTGGCTCATCTGCGAGCTGCTCAGGTGGGGGAGGGCGTGAGGGCACGGTGCTGGTGGTGGGCTGTGAGGATACTCAGTGAAGGAAGTGTGGCACAGGGGGCGGGCAGCCGTGCTGCCGCACGTGTGCATGTCTGGGTGGGCCTGCACATGCACCCAAGCTGCGGGCCTGCTCCGATACGCCTGACACCTTCCAGCCGGCTGCCGCCTGCCCTCCTGCAGCGGCGGCACCCTGGCCGCGTGGCTGTACGGCAGCCCGGGCGCGCGCCGCGCGCCGCAGCGCAGCCTGAGCGAGCGGTTGAAGATGGCGCTGGATGTGGCACGCGGCATGCAGGTGAGAGCCAGCCTGGGTGCCTGCCCCCTTGGCTGGTCTGCCCGCCGATGCATTGCCAGCCTGGGAGCAGGTGGCTCAACGCCTGTGCCCTGGCCTGCAGGCGCTGGAGGAGCACACGCCGCAGATCCTGCACCGCGACCTCAAGCCCAGCAACGTGGTGCGTGCCATGGCTGCAGGGGCTGTGCCTCCCGGCCCCCCATCCACTCACCGCTCTGCATCACACAAACATGCCCCCTGCGTTGCGCCCCTCCTCCGCCACAGTTCATCGACAGCACCGGCACCGCCAAGATTGCCGACTTTGGGCTGGCGCGCATCCTGTCCCCCGCCGCCATGGTGTCGCTGACGGGGGAGACGGGTTCGTACCTGTGGATGGCGCCAGAGGTCATCAGGCAAGGGAGGCAGGATGCGTGGCTGGCCTGCAGGGCAGCGCGCGCCGCGCTAGGGAACCCTGCTGGGTGCCTGGCCTCAGCTGCGCTTCCAATCCGAGCAAAGCGACTGCCCGTCGTGCCCGACGCACGCTGCACCCGCTGTGCGCGCAGGCACGAGCCGTACGACGCGCGCAGCGACTGCTGGTCGTTTGGCGTGATGCTGGTGGAGCTGCTGACGCAGCAGAAGCCGTATGCGGCGCTGTACATGACCCCGGTGCAGGTGGCCATCCAGGTGCGGGGGGCGGGGCCGGGGGCAGGCTGGTGGGGAGAGCCGTTGCCACCGCCGCTTGTGCTGTGCCGTGCCAGCTTAGGAGGGTTGGCCTCTGCTGGGGGTGTCCTGCCGCTCTAAATGCACGCACCCCACCATGCCTGCCGAGCGCCGCAGGTGGCCGACGGCAGCCTGCACCCGCAGGTGCCGCCTGACTGCCACCCCGCCCTGGCCGAGCTGCTGCTGTCCATCTTCTCCCCCGACCCGCTGGAGCGCCCCTCCTTTGGCTTCATTGTGGCGCGGCTGGAAGGCGTGCTGCACGACGTGCGGCAGGCGGCGGCGGCGGCGCAGGCCGACAGCCTGCTGGGGCGATGGTTCAGCCGCCCGGCGATGGGCGTGGGCGGGCGGTGACGCCCCTATACCTGTAATTGGCACTTGCAACACGTGTACTCTGCAAAATCAAACACACTGACACTGGGGGGGCCTAGAACTACCCCCTAGAAAACTAGTCTAGAGCAGTGCGCACACGTGGCGCCGGCGGCAGGCGTGCTGCATTTGAAACTTTCAAAGCCGTGTCTGCCCTGGCCCATCAGTAACAACCGATGCACAATGCTGATCCCAATCAGCTCGGATGAGGGCAGCTCGCGGTCCTGGGCCCTCATAGAGATGCAGGGAGAGGTGGAGCGCAAGGATGGCGGCACGTTAGAGGAGGCGTTCGACGTGGGCACGCTTTCGGTGTCCTCCAGCGTGAGTCGGGAAGGCTGCGCGCCGGGCAGGGGTGCTGGGCTGGCGGCAGCCGCCAGGCGGCAGGTGGCGGCAGCCGGCACAGGCGCCAGCGGTGCAGAGCCGTCCCGGCTGCACGGACTGCAGGGCGCCGTGATGCTGACCATCGGCTACCATCAGCTGGAGGGCAAGCGCATGGAGCTGAAGAAGCCGTTTGCGGTGCTGGACCGCGTTGCGGACGCGGAGGGGCACAGCACAGAGTACAAGGTGGGACGAGGGGCGGGGGCTGAGCCGAGCACTTGCCCAGGAAGGCAGTGTAAGCTTGCTGTGTCTGGGGATTCACTCATCACCTGCGTGTGTGTCACATCTGCCACCGCCTCCCCGCCGCTGCCTCAGGTGATTGGCGTGGTGCGGGAGAAGATTCTGTTCAAGGCGCGACCGCGAGCGCTGATCACCAAGCCGGAATTGAAATGACGGGAGAGGCGGCAGCAGCATTCACTACCAGGCATCACTACCACAGCGTCACTATTTTCCAACCACTCCGCGGCGGGCGGCCTCGCGCGCTACTTTGCGGCAACGGCGGGCGCTTGCGCTGCCGCGGCGGCCGCGGCGCTGCCGCTGCCCTGCCTGCTCTTCATGGTGGGCCTGCTGCGGATCTGCTGCAGCTGGTGCAGGTGTAAGCAGCCCAGGAACTCGGTCAGGCTCAGCGTCTTGCCGCTGTTGAGGTCGGAGGTGCCAAACACCGCCGCCAGCTCCTCATCCAGCGCCTCCTGTGGCGCACGATGTGGGGCGGGGCAGCAGCGGCCTGCTGGGCTGCTGCCAGACGTGGCGCAGACCACGCTCTCTCATCCAGGACCGAGGCAGCCCTTCCACAGGCCATCCCAGTCCCTGCGGCAGCAGCCACACCCAGGCAGCCTTCCCCTGCGGCCCACCTTGCCCACTCGCAGGTAGGTGATCTTCATCACCTCCTCCAGCGTCACCCGCCCGCTGCAGCCGCGGTCGTGCAGCAGGAAGAGCACCACGTTGTACAGCCCACGCGGCTCGGTGCCTGCACTCGCGGAAAGCGACAGCAAGCGGTGGTGGCAGAGCTGGCGGCGGGTGGGCATGCGCCGCCTGGCAGGCAACCAAGCGCGGTGCTGGGCACCTGCTTTGTCCTCCTGGCAGCGCTGCCAGCAGGCCTGGAACTCTGGCCAGTTGATGGTGCCGTCGCAGTCCTCATCCACCTCCCAAATCATGTCCTCCACCTCCGCCTGCACTGGGCGGGGCACAGCGGGGAGCTGCCGGGATGGCTACCACGGCAGGGGAGGTAGGGAGGCACCGGAGGGCCAAGGCCCCGTCTCTGCCTGGGCACCTTTCTGGTCTTGTGCCCCAGCGCGTCAAAGTAGCCCCGCAGCTCGTCGGCGTCGATCTGGCCGTCGTGGTTGGAATCCAGGAGCTCAAAGGCCCACCGCAGCTGCTGCACCTCGTTCTTGCGCGCAAATCGCTCCTGCACGCAAGGGCAGCGCCGGGCGAGTGGCGGCGGCAGCGGTGGGCCGCCCACAGGCGCAGCTCGCATTGCTAAGCTGCATACACACGCTCGTGGCAACGCGTTGCCCCCCTACCCGTGACAGTTCCGTGGCCATTTCGAGGAGAGGCTGCGGTGCAGCGGGCTTCGGGGGCTTTCTGCTGCTCTCTGAGGGGTCTAGAGGGGGCAATCGCCAAATTGGCAATGCGCGGGAGAGGGCAAAGCAGGCAGGGGCGCGCCGGCAAAACGTCCCCGCCACGCTGACTTGACTTTTTCAGTAGCAGTGTCGCATCGCCCTTTCAGCCTGCTCTCGCAAGCGCTCTCGCACCCGATCCAATGGTGAGGCACCCAGCGGTATGCCATGCGCAACATGCCTCTCATCGCCTCCAACTGCTGCAACTGGGCGTACCCCTCAATGGCTCCCTGCAGGCCTCCCCGTCATCATCGAACTTGAGCAAGCTGTTGCAGACGCAGCCCCAGTCTCCGGACGGCTTGAGCACCTTTGTGAGTCCCCCCGCTTGCCCGGCCGCTCCGCCGCAGCTCCTCGCCACCCACCCATCCCTGGCCCTCTCATCCTTGCTTGCGTTCCTGGCTGGCTGTCGCATTGCAGACGCAGCAGCTGCTGCAGGAGATGCGGGACAAGATGGCGGCAGCCTCAAGCAGGGTGTCGGCACAGCTGGCCGCAGCGCAGGCGCAGGTGGATGAGCTGGAGCGAGAGCTGCTGGCGCTGGTGGAGCCGCCGCCACACCACGGCAGACAATAGCAGGCTGCGCTGGTGCACGGAGGCATAGCGCAAGCCGCTGGGGAGCCTCAGGTGTAACTGATCCGTCGCGGGAGCCACTGCCGCTGCCGGCCATGCCCGTCGCACCCTGCTACCGTACGTACCAGGCCGCATCGTGGCCCACCACATCACATCACAGGGATGCCCAGCTGCGCCAGCTCCACCCGTCCCGCCTCCACGTTGATGGGCTCCACCTGGAACGGCTCCGCCTCTGGCGGCGCATCCTGCAGCTTGTAGCCGCGGTAGGGCTTCACAGACGGGTCCAGCCGCCAGCCGTACACGCCCTGGCGCAGCACCAGGCACCGCTGCAGGCCCGCATCCTGCGCTAGCTGGGCAGCCCACCCCGACCGCGTGTTGGTGCGGCCTGCACGCGTGCCGGACGGGAGGCAGCAGGCGGAGGGGCGGCGCAGATGGGGGTGAAGGGCGGGCCCAGCGCAGCCAGTGAGAGCCCCAGCGCCCGTCTGTTACCTACAGCCACTACAACAGCACGATCACACACACACACCCTGCCCTCCCGGGCATTCACATGAGAAGATGACGAGGTCGTCCGGGGCTGGCTTGGGGAAGCGGTACCGCTCCAGGAACTGGTCGGCAGGCAGCGCCAGCGCGCTGGGCACCTGGTCCACTGCAGCAAGGGCAGGGCAGCCGGGGGGCCAGGCAGGGGGGGGGCGGATAAGGTGGGATGTGAGTCAACGCTGCCTCCAGTGCCCCCTGCTTCCTTCACCCCTCCATGCCAGCCTGCGCCACCCGCCCCACCCGGGATGTGCGCCGCCCCCTTGATGGCCCCATACAGCGCGCGCTCGTCGCTGCGCCGCACGTCGATGAGCGCGGCGGGCGGCGCGTGCACCACGCCCGCCTCGGCACACATTCCCAGCAGCACCGCCAGTGCGTCTCGGTTGATGAACCGCAGGTCGGCCTGCGGCTGCGCGCCGCCCGCCGCGAGCAGCTGCAGGCCGCCCTCCAGCACCATGGAGCGCTGGAAGCCGCAGCTGGCGGCGGCGGCCGCCGCCCGCAGCTCCTCCTCCTCGGTGTTGCCCACAAACACCAGCAGGTAGTGTGGCTTGGGGAAGGGCACGCCCTGGAAGGCCTCACCCCACGCCGCCTCCGACCCCAGCACCGCCGCCACACGCGACTCTGCACACGCCCGGGGCACCATGCCATGAGAGCCAGCATGCTGCGAAAGGCAGACGCTGTGCAATGCCAGCGTGGAGGGGGCAGCCAGTGGCCAAGTGCAGCGCCTTACCCGGCAGGCGCAGCGCGCCACGCAGCTCCGCAGGCAGCGCGTCGTTGGGTGCTGAGGGGCGCAGCGTGAAGATGTGGTGCGGGTAGGGCCCGGTCTCCACCTGCAGAGGTCAGCAGGTCTCCCCAGCGGTCAGCAGCTCAGGCAGTACGCAGCATGCCAGGAGAGTAGGGATGCACAACCCCAAGGCGGCAGCCAATGCAGCACGCCGCCGCTTCGACCCCCAGGCGCTCTCACTGACCAGCATGCGCAGCGCCACCGGCGAGAGCCGGCCGAAGAAGCGGCCCACGGTGCGGCGCGAGGCCTGCTTGCCGCTCTCCTCCTCCCGCCGCTTGCGGTTGAGCTCCGCCCGCAGCCAGCGCACGGCCCACGCCAGCAGCGTGAGCAGTAATGCACTGGTCACGCTGCCTCCCGCGTTGTTGATGAGGGCCATGGCTGCGCCGCAGGGACAGGGAGGGCGCGAGCCCTGCACCAGCAGGGGGCCATGGGTTCGGTTCGGCAGGGCGGCAGCGTTGGCCGGCGCTCTAGAACGTCCAGCCTTCGTCACATCGGCCTCCCTTCAATACCTGCTGCTGCTACCCTGCTTGGCTGGGCTTTGGGAACGACCTAGTGCGCTCCGTCGCTCTGCAGAGTTGCCCGACTGCAGGTGATGGCACTGGTCTGGGCAGTTGGTCGCTTCAGCAATCGTTGAACGCGCCAATTGACTCAGGGGCGGTCCCAACACCGAGAGGATCAGTTTTTTGTGCAAACCTGCAGCAGAGGTACAGCTCGCAGTACAGGCCAGGCAACTTTACCCTCAACCTCCTTCGTGCTGCATGCTCCCTGGCAGCGATCCTGGTTTCACGCAAACAGCATTGCCTGGTGCGTGGGTAGGTTGGGGGTCGTGTCGAGCTGTATGTGCACCGCTGGGCCAAGCAGACGACACGCGGTGTCTCGTGCTAGTGGTGCTAGGGCCAGGCTGGTCAGCAGGCACCCAGGGAGTGCTACATTGCTGCCCGGCGCAGCGGGGGTGTGGGCCCGACTTCCTCGCCGCACGCGTGTTGCTCCAGCTTGCCGTCTGCCTCCCCTCCCTTCTGGGCCTGCCACTGGCATGGCTGTGTTTCCATGGTCCAGTCTACAACCCCTGGGCTGGTCCCAATGCTGCAGAACAACTGTGTTGGGGTGTGTTGTGACGAGGAGCCGCCCCAAGCGGCTGCCTCCCCGCAGCACATGCCACGCATCAGAGCCACCACACACGCCGGCACATGGTACTCCAACCAAGGTGAGGGCGTCCTGCACTTGCACCTGCCATCGGTGGAGGCTACTTGTGGCGCAAGGCTGGCTGCCATGCGGCGCAGCACCCGACATTGTCCTGGCTTGCCGCTTGCCTGCTTGCCTGCAGCGGGGCAGCTGCAACAGCAGCTGAAGACGTGGCTGAGCGAGGCGGAGGCGGTAGAGGGGCAGCACGCCAGGGCCATCATAGCGCCACATGCTGGCTATCGGTGCGTTGCGTGGGCAGGAGGCCTGCTTGTGCTGTCGTCGCCTGCTTGGTTTCATCGGCGCCGCCTCGCATGCTCACCCCGATGCGACCCCGGCAGGTACTCTGGCCACGTGGCGGCGTATGCCTACAAGCAAATCGACCCCACCCAAGTGTGAGTGAGGCGGACAGCTGCCGCCAGCCGCCTGGTGGGCTGCTCATTGTGCTGCAGGGGTGAAAGACAGTGCCGGAGGCTGGGCAGCAACGGCCCCACTGCTCTTGTGCCACCGGCTGCAGGCGGCGAGTGTTCCTGCTGGGGCCCTCCCACCACTTCTACTCCAAGCACTGCCTGCTGTCGCCAGCAGATGCCTACGCAACGCCGCTGGGTGCGCCTCTGCTGCCCTGGCTCGTGCTGGCTGCGTGGCCAGACGCCGGCTGGCACTGTGGGCCCACATGCTGCTTGCCACGCCCTGCCCGCCTCCCCGCTCCCTTGCAGGCTCCGCCACCATTGATGCGGAGGTGTATGCCGAGCTGCGGGCCACCGGCAAGTTCCAGGAGCTGAAGGCCGCGGCTGACGAGGCGGAGCACAGCCTGGAGCTGCACCTGCCCTACATTGTGCACATGATGGCGGGGCGGCCCTTCACCCTGGTGCCCATCGTGGTGGGGGCCATCAGCGCCGAGTCGGGTGGGTGGGTGGGGGTGGGTGGGGGTGGGAGCAGGTTTGTGTGTGGGGTGGGTGGGTTGCACGGCGCGCAGCAGGGGATCTGCCGGCCGGCCGCTGTGCCTGGCCTGTTGCCCACCCCGCTCCTGTCCGCAACTCGCCGAGGTGCAGAGGCTGCGTACGGGCGGCTGCTGGCCCCCTACCTGGACGACTCCTCCAACCTCTTCATCGTCTCCTCCGACTTCTGCCACTGGGGCAAGCGCTTCAGCTACACCTTCTACGACCCTGCGCAGGCGAGTGCGGCAGGAGGTGGTGGGCAGGGGAGGCCAGGGCGAGGGCAACAGCAGCAGCTCTCTGGTGGTGCTCTCCTGGTGCGGATGTGCCTCGCTGGCCCTGGCCTTGCCTGCCTTGTGCCTGGCACCAACACTCTCCTCACCCTGCCGTCTGCCGTTGTACGGGTGCAGGGCCCCATCCACGCCAGCATCGAACGGCTGGACCGGCAAGGGATGGCTCTGATAGAGGCGCAGGATGCGGCTGGGTTCACCGCCTACCTCAAGCAGCACGGCAACACCATCTGCGGCCGCCACCCCACCGCCCTGCTGCTGCACGCACTGCGCCACTGCGCCACCAAGCACAGCGTGCGGTTCACCAAGTACGACCAGAGCCACCGGTGCACGACGGAGCAGGACAGCAGCGTCAGCTACGCGTCAGCGGTGGTCGTGGCGCTGGGGCGGTGACCAGAGACCAGCCTCTGTACCATCATTATTCCTGCTATTCAAAGCGTAGTGTAACAACAGGACCCAGGTCTTGAGGGCAGAAATCCCCCAAGGCTTGTATCCCCCAATGCCGCCGCAACCTTGCGCATGCTGTGAGCGCTGAGCCCCCCCCGCCATGGCACCAGGTCTCTCGTCACATTGATGTCAAGCTCGAAACGCCGCCTCCTCCGCGTTTATTTTTCTCCCTTCTTCACACACAGACGCAAGCAGACGAACGACATGCAGAGAGTCCTAATCGTGGGAGGCGTGGCCGGTGGGGCAAGCTGTGCGGCTCGCCTGCGCCGCCTCTCAGAGGCAGCGCAGATCATGATGTTTGAGCGTGGAAATTACGTGTCTTTCGCCAATGTAAGTTCCAGCCGGGTTGAGCGCCAGTTGACCTGGGCTGCCATGCGGAGGAATCTCTGCGTTTAGGGCAGCTCCTGCTTGGGTTTGGCATGCATCTCCCGGGAAGGCGCTGCTTGGCCTGGGGTGCCGCTTCCCTGACGAGAGGTGTCGCACCGCCGCCCGCTTGCCGCCACCCGCCCGACTCCCTGTCTCTTGCCGTTGCACGTGGGCTTTGCAGTGCGGCCTGCCGTACCACGTCGGAGGCGTGATCCCCGTGAGTGTCTGGTGCTTGCATGGCAGCAGCTGCCACCTGCCTGCATGCCTGGCACTCTGCCTTGCTCGACCTCACGCCAGCCGCCAACCGACCATACCTGTTCCTGGGGGTGTGCAGGAGGAGAGCAGCCTGCTGGTGGCTAATGTGGCGAAATTCAACAACTGGTTCAACGTGGACGTGAAGATCAACACCGAGGTGAGTGCAGGGGAGGGCCTTGCGGCAGCGGGAACGGCGTGGGGGCGCACAGCACGCCCCATTGCTGCCGCACCACCCCACCTTGCCGCACGTTCAGAAAAAACCACTGGCTGCCCCGCAGGTTGTGGCAATCGACCGTGCGGCGCGCAAGGTGACGGCCCGCGACGGCGGCACGGGCCAGGAGGCACAGTACGAGTACGATGCGCTGGTGCTGGCACCCGGGGCCGCCGCCATCCGGCCGACGCTGCCGGGGATCGACCTGCCCGGCATCTTTGCCATGAAGACCATCCCCGACGTGTGAGCCGGCCAGCCCGGGGCTGCCGGTCTCTTGCCGGGCAGCGGCGTTTGCCGCTGCTGCACTGCTTGCCACCTGAGTAGGATGGGGCACCAACAAAGAGCCGTCCCCCTGCACCTCGCGGGCCACCTCCCTGCAGGCGCCAGGTCAAGCAGTGGATTGCGCAGACGAGCGCCAAGTCGGCGGTGGTGGTGGGCGGCGGCTTCATCGGCCTTGAGATGGCCGAGAACCTGATGCACCTGGGCCTGGACACGAGTGTGGTGGAGATGCTGCCGCAGGTGGGCACACCAGGGCTGGTTGCACTGAATGGTGGAGCGCATGATGACCACCACCTCTGCCCTCATCTGGAGACCCACCCAACAGTCCTGCAGGTGCCCTTCCCCTCCCCCCATCAACCCCTGCCTCCACCTTTGCTCCCACTCCCTCCCTTGGTATAGGTGATGCCGCCATTTGATGCGGAGATGGTGGAGCCGCTGCACGCCCACATGCGCGCCAAGGGCTGCAAGCTGCACCTGGGGGACGGCGTGGCGGGCTTTGAGCAGGGGGCGGGCGGCAAGGGGCTGGTGGTGAAGACACAGAGCGGCGCCGCACACCCCGCAGACCTGGTCATGCTGGTGGGTTTGTCAGGGATACGGCGCAGGGGTGGGGTGCACAACCACCCTCATGCTGGGCGGTTCCTGCATTCTGGAGCTATGCCTGGTGTGCGCAGCAGCTTGCCCTCTGAGCGAGTTTGGCCCTTAGCACCCTTGTGCGCCCCGCTCGCCCCTGCAGGTGATTGGCGTGCGGCCCGAGGTGGGGCTGGCCAAGAGCGCGGGGCTGGAGCTGGGGCCGCGCGGCGGCATCAAGGTGGACGACCACATGCGCACCTCGGACCCACACATCTATGCGGTGGGAGACGCGGTGGAGGTCAAGGTGGGCGGGGAGGAGGGGAGGGGGAGGGGCACTGGTCGGCATTGGTTCGTTTTGGTATTGCCCGAGCCGAGTGCCAGGCCCAGCTGCCTTTGTGCTGTCCCACCTGCAGGACTGGGTGACGGGGCAGCCGGCCCTCATCCCGCTGGCGGGCCCCGCCAACCGCCAGGGCCGCATCGCGGCAGACGTGATCATGGGCAAGTGAGTGGTGAAGAGCCGGTGGGGCTGGGCTGTTGTACTGCTGGGCTTGAACCCTGGGGGCCAGTTCCTGAATGCTCCGGGTGTCGCCAAGAGACCTGCCAGCGCTTGGCTGGCAAGCCCTTGCCACTGCCTGCAACTGTGTGCCTGCCGACCTCCGCTGCCGCTGCCGCCGGCCCCCTCCCCCCGCAGGGAGCCCAGCAAGTTCCGCGGCACGCAGGGCACGGCGGTGGTGGGGGTGCTGGGCATGACGTGCGCCAGCACCGGCGCCTCGGAGCGCACGCTGAAGCGCGCGGGGCTGGCGTACGAGAAGGTTTACGTGCACGTGAACAACCACGCGGGATACTACCCGGGGGCGGGCCAGATCGACATGAAGCTGCTGTTTGACCCCAAGGCGAGGCTGGGGGACGGGAGGGGGGGGGGGCTGTGCCTGTGCCGCAGCTGCCTGTACCTCCCCGGAACCCCTGCTTTTCAATACCCTGCCTCCCTGCCTCCCTGCCCCCCCCCCCGCTTGCCTGCAGGACGGCAAGATCCTGGGGTGCCAGGCCACGGGGGTGGTGGCGGGGGTGGAGAAGCGGGTGGATGTGGTGGCCATGTGCATGCAGATGGGTGGCACGGTGTTCGACCTGGAGGAGGCGGAGCTGTGCTACGCGCCGCAGTACGGCAGCGCCAAGGACCCCGTCAACATTGCGGGTGCGGCGCCTGGGGGTGGGCTGGGCTGGGCTGGTGGTGGTGGTGGTGGTGGCGGGTCTTGGGGGTACACAGATGCTGGGCCTGCAGCGGGCCGGTCCCCGTGACCACCTTCTCGGGAAGAGGAAGAACGGCTGGCGTCGATGCTGCATGCCCCTGCCTGCCCGCCCCGCAGGAATGGCGGCGGCCAACATCGTGCGCGGCGATGCGTTGTACACCAGCTGGGTGAGGCGGCACCCTCCTGGCCCTGCCACCTGCCTGCCTTGCCTGCGCAGTGCCCGCCGGCTGTGGCTCTGCTTTGCCCTGGGCGTTCCTGCCACTCAGCCACTTTGCCCCACCCAGCAAGGCCCGAGCTGTGTGTGTGTGTGCAGGAGGAGATGGATTGGGAGAGTGTGGTGGGCGACACGAGCGCTGCGCTGATCGATGTGCGGGAGGCACAGGAGCTCAAGCGGGTGAGGGGCGGGCTGGGGTGGAGGCGGCAGGGGGGACTCCGGGGCAAGCAGGTGGCCTCGATCTGCCCTGGATGCGGTGCAGTGGGTTGGGTGCACCTGTGAGCCAGGCGCTGGCGCTGACGGTGCCTTCTGCGCTGCCCACAGAATGGCTCGGTGCCGGGCGCGCTCAACCTGCCTCTGAGCAGCCTGCGCAAGCGCATGGGCGAGGTGCCCGCCGGCAGGAAGCTCTACGTCTACTGCCAAGTGAGGAGAGCAGCCCAGGCGGCAGCACAGCGTGGAAGCAGGGCAGAGAGTGTGGGGTTCGCTCCCACCACCCACACCAGTGCGCTGGTGCAGCCTGGCCTGTGCGCAGGCGCTGACCGCCACTCTGGCCCTGCCGGCCGCGCCTGGCTGTGTTGCAGGTGGGGCTGCGCGGCTACTACGCCACCCGGCAGCTGCTGCTAGCGGGGCATGATGCGGTGAACATCAGCGGCGGCTACAAGTCCTACAAAGACTTCAAGGCGTCGCACCAGCTGCAGGGAGGGGCCGCCAACGGGGCCGCCAACGGCGCCAAGCTCTGAAGCCCCAGGGGTGGCGGTGTGTGTTCTTAGAATGTACAAGCGTAGTTAGGATGATCAATCAGCGTCTGCTGCTTTTGAATGTTAAAATGAATATGAAATAATGGCGGCAGCGGCTGCTACTTGCTGGTCAAAACTGGCCTTGCACCTGTTGTTCTCTCAACCTCAAAGAGCAGGTGTCACGGGCGGCTGGCGGCAACCAGCACCTCAGGGCTCTGCGACGCGCACGCCGCCGCGGGAGAAGAAGCCAGGCACGCGCTGCACCACGCGGTCCTGGTCGGGCTCGTACAGGAAGACGCGCCTCACGGGCGGCGCGTACAGGTGCTGCAGGCACGGGTGGGTGTGGCAGCCAGCAGGGTGGGGCTGTGTCGGTGGGGGGGATCCTGCCTCTCCCCACGCGCAGCAGCAGCCCTGGCCTCCTCGGCTGCCTTCCCCTGCAGGCGGTCCCGGCCCGCCTCACCAGCGTGACGGCGCCCTCCTCCAGGTCGGTGTCGTCGGCACACCGCACCGCGTGCAGCGCCTGGCCGTCGTTGCTGCAGGGGTTGGGGTTCACGAAGACCAGCAGCGGTCGGGGACCAACTCAAAAGCCGGGGCTGGCAGAGGAGAGCACCAGAGTCAGGCTGCGGCAGCAGGCAGGATGCCGCCGCCTCCTCACATGTACAGGATGCTGCCGGGGCCTGCCACGCCACGCCCCGTCTCCCGCAGCTGGGGGCACGGCGTGACGGCGCCGAGGACGCCCGGTAGCGGCGGCGGCACGGCGGGTCCCTCGCGGGGGCTGGTGGGCACGCTGTCATCCTCCATTCCCGCCCTTGGGTTCGAGTACCTGCAGGCACTTAAATGGGGGTGGCAGGAGAGGGGTAGGGTCTCGCCAGGTGCACCTTGGCAGAGGGGAGGCGGCCGGGCACCCCTCCCCTGCCCCGCACCTCGTCTCCTCCACGCGCCCGCCCAGCACCGTCACCCATCCGTGGGCGGCGGCGTGGTTGTGCACGCGGCTGCCCTGGCCCTTGCGCCAGCAAAGCACCATGAGCTCGTAGTCGTCGCTGGCAGCCACCAGATTGCGAGTGTAGTGGTCGGAACTGAAATTGATGTAGCCTCCCGCTTGGAAGGCCGCAAGGTCGCCTGTCTTGAAGGCCTGCTGCAGCGCCCCGCGGACTCGGCTGTCCAGGCGCTGGAAGGAGTCGGGGGGCTACAGGTGGGGTTTGGGGGATCGGGGCTCTCCTCGTCGGTTGCGCGACAGGTGGCAGCGGCGACGGTTGGCGGCAGCGGAAGCAGCATCGCCAAGACCCAGCGGCAACCATCCTTTCAACAGCTGTACCTGGTCGCGGTAGTTGATCTCGTACCCAAGCTCCCGCTCCGCCTCAAAGGCCTGCGCCAGGGCGGCACACAGCTCCTCCACGGGGGCGAGAACCATAGCTAGCTCGGGCAAGCAAGCCAAGAAAGGGATTGTTTCGCGACCACGAGACAACCAACGAAAGAATAGGCAAGGGGGATATCTCGGAGACCGGCTACGTGTCCCTCCAGCTGGGCAGAGGGCAAAGGCTGCTGGTACGGTCTGCTGGATCTCCAGCGAATTCCAACGGCCAGCCAGCCAGCTATATTGGCCCATCGCGTGCACTGTTGCTGCGCAGAACCAGATCCGGTTTCAGGGGAGGAAGGTGCAGGGCTCACTGCCTGCCCAACCGCAGCGCAACCTTGCCACCCGCCCGCAGGTGCGGGGCCGCGTCTCATGTAATGTGCAGCCACAGGAGGAAGAGAGCGCAGTGCAAGGAAGGCACAGAGACAGGACAGGCGGCATGGGCGTCGTCCCAACGCACACGAGCAGCCGGGCGCCTCACGCCCAGCTGACCATCTTGCCCTTGTCCGCCGCCGAGGGGCGCGCGCCCCCAGGCTCTCTGTCCTGCCTGAACTTGCGGTACACAGCCTCCAGCCGCTCCCGCTCCGCCTCGGGCACCGAGGGCCGGGCCGCCAGCAGGGCGGCGTCCAGATGGCGGCGCCGGATGAGGACGGGGCCGGCGGCGGCGCCGCCGCCCTGGCCGCCGCCGCCGCCCTCCAGCGCCTCGTGCACCGCCGCCAGCTGCGCCTCGGCCAGCAGCGCTCCCAGGTCGGCGCAGGAGAAGAACTCGGCGCTGTAGCCCACCTGCAGGGGGTGGGGTGGGGAGTGGTGGGGCGGGGAGTCGTGGAGTGGTGGGTGGGCAGGGCCATCGGCGGGTGGGCAGGGGCCCCAGGAGGGAACAGGCAGCACCAGGGGTCAGGAGGCAGATACACCCCCACCCCCGCCCCCTGCCCACCTGCGCCAGGTCCACCCCCGCCTCCAGCGCCACCCCCCTGCTCAGCGCGCGCAGCACGGCGCCCCGCTCCAGCGGCGAGGGGAAGCCGCAGAAGACGAGTCGGTCGAGGCGGCCGGGGCGCAGCAGAGCAGCGTCCAGCAGGTCGGGGCGGGAGGTGGCGCCCACCACGCACACGCCTGCGGCGGGCGGGGGGCGGCAGGGTGGGTGAGCTGGCGGGTGGCAGGGTGGGTGAGTGGAGGGTGAGTGGGCAGGGCCGGTGTGGGAGCAGCGCTGGCACCCGCACCGGCGCATTTGCCCCAGGCCGCACACCCAGCCGGGCGGCCTCCCTCCCCAAAAGCTCCCCCAGCAGCCCCTACCCCTCAGCCCCTCCACGCCATCCAGTTCTGTCAGCAGCTGGTTCACCACTCGGTCCGTCACGCCCGTGTTGTCGTGGCCGCGCTTCGGGGGTTGGTGGGGGCCGGGGGGGGCGGTAAGCGGTGAGCGGGAGGGTGGGCATGAGCCTGGGCACGGGCACCGCTGCTGCCGGCCCTGCAGCAGCCGCCCTGCCTCCCCGTCACCTCGCCCTGCAAGCCCTCCTCCGCCGTGCGCCCGTGCCCCTGCCCTGCAGCCCGCCCTGCCACCACATACACACACACAAACACACACACACACACGCACAACAACACACACACACACGCACACCTGGGGCGCGATGGCGTCGAATTCGTCGAAGAGGAGCAGGCAGGGGGCGGCGGCGGCGGCGCGCTGGAACACGTCCCTCACAGCCGCCTCGCTGGCGCCGATGTACTTGTTCAGCAGCTCGGGGCCGCTGTGGGTGTGGGTGTGTGGGTGTGGGTGTGGGTGTGGGTGGCAGCAGGAAGGAAGGGTGGGAGGTGGAGAGGCCGAGAGGCAGAGCAGCAGGCACAGGGAGGCGGGGCTGACGCGGACCGCGCCACGCATGTGCTGCCTGCCTGCCCGCTCCCCGCCTGCCCGCCCCCCCGCCCCACCTGACTGTGATGCAGCGCACGCCTGCCGCCGCCACCGCGGCCGCCACGATGTGCGTCTTGCCGCAGCCGGGGGGGCCGTACAGCAGCACGCCGGTGCGCAGGCGCAGGGGCGCCTGCATGGGGGGGGCACAGAGGCAGGGGCGGTAGGAGGCAGGCAGGGGCGGCGCTGGGTGAAGCCGCAGAGGCACATCGCGCACAGAAGCAGGAGGCAGGCAGGCGTGGGTGGCGGGGCAGCCCTCTCTCCTCCCTCCCCGCCACCACCACGCGCGCTAACACACACACATC